GGGGAGATTAATCCAAAGGATGATCTCACCATGAAAAAAAGTTCTCTTCTGTCCAATCAAAATCTCACCCATTACCCCTTGTCTTTTCCATTTGACTTCTTGGACAAAATGAATCTCCATGGTCCCTGTAGCCACCCTTTAAATACTGGAACATGGTGATAAGCCTCCCCTAACACATTTATTCTCAAGATTGAACAACTGAAACAACTGAACAACCTTTTGTATGTAACATATACATCTATACATTTCCAAACAAATGTGTTCAGACAAAATCCAAGGAAGAAAGGATGCTGGAAGAAGAAATCAGCACAAAGAGGGATCCAACACCCAACCACTGATGGAGCAACAACAGCAGCAGCAGTGAGCCTGCTGCTCACCACCCTGCAATCCATGCTGGGATCCCAGGTGGGGTCAACAACTCTCCTTGGCACCTGCCTGCAGACCCTCAAGCATCCTTCCATGGCAGCTCAGACCCTGCCAGAAATGTCCCATTTCTGCAATCTCCCCTGCCCACGGTGCTGCTGGCACTGGTCATCTGCTGCTGTCAAAGAAAGGAGGAGGACAGAGCACACATGTGTTCTTCTTGCTGGGTAAGGGAGCTGAATCTGCTCACAGAAGGACTGGTGAAACACCAAGGCCAGGATGAAGTATGAGGTGGGAGCTGGAAGCTGCAGGGGATGAAATGCAGAAGACAAGAGTAAGACCCAGGAGGAGAAGCCCATCCCCACCTCATATCAGATCACCTTTAGCCATTTTTCACATCCTCCTTGAGTAAGCAGCTGAACAGAGGGACAAGGACCACGATCAATGAGCACTGCCTGCACGGGGCCTTTAACACCCCCAGAAATCAATGGAAAATCTTTCAACCTCAGCCCTGCCAGATCAGGCTTGCAGCAGTAACGGAGGCGTAAACACGAGCAGCAATAAATGAGCAAACTGCTAATTGTGAAGCTTTCCCATGTCTTGTCTGTGAAGCAGGAGTGAGTGCAGGGTGCCTGAGCAGGCACATGATGGTACTTGCACAGGGATTGCTCACTGCTCCAGCTGCTTGCTTTCATGGGGACGTGCAGGAGCACGTTACCACCCACTGCACACACTTTACTTGAAATTACTGCCCTGAACGACTGCATGTGAATTTTGACTCAAAACAAAACATAAATCAGGTCTCAAACCTTACCTAGATTATGAAGGGGAAGTTACAGAAAGTCATTTGGTAATTTACACCCTGTATTTTACCTTTATCTCTGCTATTATCAGACCTTCCCCACATTTTTATTCGTGTGGCAAGAGATGAACTGGCAGTGTACAGCCTAGTGTGGGAAGGACAAGGTGACAGCCAGCAAACAGCAAAATGACAGAAACACCAGGAAAGATGATAAAAAATTTGAAATGGTATAAAAGAAACATAAAATAAATTGCAGAGAGAAATTTCACACTAAGGGATGTTATTTCTTGAGAACAAACTCCATGATATTGACTGTGATAGTCTCCTAAGAGAAATGGTCTACTTTTTTTGGAGAAACTGAGAATCAGAAAGAGCACGTAGAGTGTGGAGAGGATGCTGAGATGCTGCATGGCCAGGAAAATGGACAGACTGATGCACCTTGTCTCAATCTCTGAAACTGAGATCTCGCCATAAAGCACTTTTATCATGAAGAATAAGAGAGAAATAGTTTGCAAAGACTCAAACAGTTTTCAGCTTAAAGTCTCTGCAAATTAATATACTTTGTAGGAAAAAACAGTCAAATGCAGTGTTTATTCTAAGCACTTTAGTGCCTCAGACTCATTAACCCGGTACCTTACATGCTGTCTTTGTCATGCAAATTTGTTAAAATACTGTGCTTTTCATAAAACATTCATACAGACAAGCTCACACTGCACAAATACCAATTGTAAGTGGAGCAAAAATACACTTACTTTTTCCTAATATTTCAGCTCTGCACCTAAGTCTTATCCACATAAGCAGTTTGTGAGAAACCTGCTGCTGCTGCCACTGTAGCACAAAGGTGGAAGATTTCCCAAAGCAGCTGATGTAGGCAATTATAAACTGAATTACCACATGCCAAAGCCAAATGAAAAGACTTTGTAGAAGGTACCTGCAGCAGAGGTTTTTTGAGGAAAAGATCATTACAGAGAGGAGGAGGAGAGATACCCTGCACTTAAGGAGGCCAAACATTGCACATACTGCACCTGTCTGCTGAGCTCCTATTTAGGAGCCACCTGCCCTGTAGAGTTTGCTGGGCATCCACACCATGCAGCACCAGGCATGCTGCATCCAGCTGCTGAACTGGCTGGACAGGATTCACCCATCCAACAACACAGGGAGCCCAGCAGGAGATACAAAATCATCTCCATAAGGGCTCCAGCCAGCCTGACCCACACAGTGAGAGATGACTCAGGGCTGCAGAGGGTTAAGGGAAGGAAAAGTTCCTGATTTACAACTTACACAGCTGTGGAGAAGGACCAAAACATCACCTTCAGGGTTCAGTGCTATGACAGCACTCTCCCTCCTCCAGTGGACTTGGATCTTGGAACATGAGCTACCACAGCAAAGCCATGGCCAGCTGCAATTCACAATATAAACTGCACTAAACCAAATTCAAATACACAGGATAAATGCAGGAAATTTTGTGAGCTTTTCCTCCTCCCTCCACACTTACAACTACTTTTGTTTCAAGACAATCTATAACTGTGTGTGCTATCTCAATTCATACTCTGAGCAACTGCTCTCATCCTGTACTTGGTTTTCAAAACTGTCATTTCTTTTTCAGGCCTGAAAAAGGGCCCACAAACCTGGAAAATGTCTAAGTTTTACAACTGTACCAGTTGGTTTGACAGAAGAAAATACTACCTTCCCAGACTTCCCAGAGCTATGAGGCAGAACTCAACAACACTGCCTGAGGTGCCACAATCATCCACGCTGGTTTTCATCAGGTTCAGAGCTATGACACAAAAGTAACCAACATGAGGCATCTTAACAAGAGGTTTTCTTTGTTCTGCATAATAACAAGCCAACTGCAAGCCAGGTATACCTCCCAACCTGTCTGCTAGACCTGGTTCCCACTCACCCAAAACACAAGGTTCCATTACTGCTCCTGAGCACAGATGACTTCCCAAAGGAAACCAGGTCCTCAGGGGGATGATGCACAAATCCCTGGGATGCACCCACACCACACAGGCACCACATGGCAAGGGCCTGGAGACTGGGAACTGTACTCAGATTGACTACCCTGCAGTACAGGCATAACCAAAGTGAATTGCACTTAACAGAGAACTTCTAAATTGTTAAAATGAATTAGCAGAGTCACAAAACCAAACCAAAACACAACAACAAAGAAATCCACCCAGAACTCCCTCAAACACCCTCCTTACCACCCAAAGAAAAACTCCAAATCCAACACAGATTGGGGCAGGATCTATAATCAAAATAAAAACAAAACAGTAATTTTGCATATGTGCTTCATAACATGTTAAGAAAATAAGTACTTGTCCAAACACCTGCAATGATTTCTCAGATGCAGGAGAAGAGAGTGAACATACTGAAACCTGCTGGGTTTCGAAATTCAGTTCATTTGGCACATCCTCCACTTTTGCAAGAAAACAAACAGCAAAGGCAGGCAAGCCATGGCATGAGCAGCCCTGCACTCTCCTGCCCACCTGCCTGCAGCCCAACTCAGAGGAACCTCCCTGGCTGCACCAGCTTAGCTTCATCTTTACACTCAGTCCTCAGCCTGCCCATTAAAATGGTCAATAGCAATGCCAGCTGAGAAATGTCCATCACTGGGAACTCCTTTTTACAGGTCACTGGCCAACCAGACAACAACAGCTTCTAGCCATGAGTGACCTCTCTGCGACATGAACCGCTGATTTCCAGGAGAGAGACAAGCCATGAGCCATCCATTTTCTTAATCGTAATTAAAACAAAACCAAAGCCACTCAGCTGTTTCTATATGAATTTGTTTGTACAAAATAAAAACGTGCAATCATCCTGCTATGCTCCTGGAGACTGAACACTAAAGTAATAAGAATCTGAATGTGTTTAGTTCATCTACTGTTGAACAGAAATCAGCATCACGACAGTTTGGGTAACAAAATGTTCTGCTGCACAGACCTCCAAGTAAGCTGACAAAACAGATTCAGATGGGTGTGTCTTATGATGGAAAAATTAACTGTGATAAAGAATAAAATGCCCCTTAGATATGTTGTTTTCAGTCATTAAGATGCAAAAGGAATTAAAAAAAAAAAAAGCCATCTCCCTAAAGTTCAAGCACATGTACGAAAAAGCAAACAAACAAACCTGCCTGGATGACTGACTGTTTGCAATACTGGCTCTGGCAAAACTGGCTTCTGTAGTTGATCAGTCCTGCTCCCACTGTGCTATACAGAGTTGTATGAGGCAAATAGATCTGTGGGTTTTAAGAAAAATGGAGCAAAACCAGCACAATACACATTGAAGTTCATATCAAAGAAAAAAGTATAACACCAGTTATTTTCTCTTGCAAACATTTTAAATGTTTGCCATTTGCGGAGATTCTCAATCAGAGACAGACTGCATCATGTTTGACTCCAGTAAAATGTCTCCTGAGAAAGTCTGCCTTGATCTAAGATTCTCATACTTGGGTTTTAATTTCCAGTCATATTTACAGGAATCTGCTTCCTCCAATTTCCTATTTGAGAGCGCATGGCTTGAAATATGCCCATCAGCTATCATATGACTGCAAATCAACTATCAGCTTAACCAAGAGATACACATTCTCAGGCTTCAGAAAATAATTAGTCACCCCAGATTTTCCTGCAGCTTCCAGAAGAACAGATGTCAACAATCACATCAACAACCAAGACCACTGGTCCCATCCAGCCTCGCAGCTCCTGTACCCGGACATCTCAGTGATTCACGGAATTGCTACCACAGAAACCAACAGGATACATGGAAATGACACAACAAACCCACAGCTGGCTGCCTGAGTCCAGTTTCTGCTCTGAGCTGAACTCCTACTCACCAGGCTCTTGGTCCTTTGTGGATATGCACTCTTTGATGGACTCTGTTATGCCAAGACTAGCAGCGGTGGGCAGTGGGCCAAGCAAGGATTCCAGTGCAGGGGGTCTCACAAGACTTTCACTTCCATTTCTGCATTCCCCATCTTCATTTCTTTTACCTCTATCCTTCTCATTAAGTTCATCATAAAAGCTCTTGTTTAAGTGATTAGCAGCTGCCTCTAGCTCCTCATCTTCTGCCTCCTCCTCTCCAAAAATGCTAGAGGCATTATCTTCTATAGAATCTGTAAGGGGAAGAAACCCAACAGATCATTGCATACCATCTGTTACAGAAACTAAATAAATAGGGAGACGCTCACTTAAAGAATAAAAATCTTTAGAGGAAATCTGTAAAAGAAATACACAATATTTTAGTTCAGTGTATGAATACATGGAGTTTCCAGATGCTCTTCAAATTCATTACCTTGACTATTAAAATGTATTTTTGTGACTATAGTCACCATTTAAAATAGAAAGCATCATCTTATCATATTAGGTAAAAGGGCTTTGTGAGAGAAGTCAGCTATTTCCTGGTATAATTACAAATTAAAAATAGCCAGTTAAACCAGCACAAAGCCCTTCCATATGGGAAGTCAACTGGGGAATTTGGTGACAGAAGGGTCTAGATACTGGTCCACTGCCCTTTTAGTGATAAAAAGAAACATTCTCAGGTGCCAGTGCCAAGCTTATACTGCACCAGGAGAGAAAAACAACTGAAATCATTAATGAACTATCCCTGCAATGAACAATGTGGTTGTTTTGAGGACTGATTTATGAACCACCTCTTTGGCAGAGAGAACCCCAACGTAAGAGATCTTGTACTATGCAAGATATATATGACCACATTTATCACCATAACATTCATTCACTCCAGACTGCCAGACCTGAGCTCAATACTATTTAAGGAGTCATAAGACTTTATAGACTTACCATCTTTAGTGAAATTTGCAAATACACCTTTTGCTTTCGGTCTGCTGTTTTCTAATTCACTCTCTATTTCATCTTGGTAGCTCGATATTTCTCCTGTGGTGTTGAAATAAAAATAAAACTCAGCGATCATCGATGCAATATTGAAGAAATGAGTGATATGTTACACTAAACACAACTCATACCTTCAAAATCCTCCAGCTTTTTTGATAATGCCTTTTCAAGCTGAAATGACAATAGACAAAATAAACATGAAATTACTAAAAAAATATGCACAATTTTAAACTGTTTGTGTGCTGTACATAGAGACAGAGAATGGCAGGGTATTTCAAAAGCATAAGCAGGTTTTGAATCACCACTGAAATTACTTTGTAGTGTCAGACAGGCATGACAGACAGGTCTCAAAACACTGACCAATTTCAAAATGTTATCTCCTCCATCTTTATACTTCAAAAAGAGCCTCCAGTCTGGCAAGCTGTAAATAAAAGGCCTCATTCTCCAGCAGTCAGACCCTGTGACTGTGCCTGTAGATGTGAGAAGTGCAAGGACAGGGCTGAGACTGGAGTGCCCACACCAGACAGAGCACACTGGTGATGGCAGAGTGAAGCTCTGACCTGCAGCACCTGGCTGGTTCTTGAGAACATCGCTAACACCCCTACAGACCTTAAATGATAGCACAGTTACAGCAAGCAAAAACCCTAACAAACCAATAATATAAGAATTTACTAGGGCAGCAGTAAAATCTTCTCCTCTGCTGCCAGCTTTAGTTCATGATTTGTAAAGAAATTAGGCCACATGAGAACTAATCTCTGTGGAAGTGGGTGTTGTGCCACACAAACCCACCAGCAGTCTCATTAAAGTAAATGGGTTATTGTTTTCATATTTATTTTAAAAAGTTCTCTGCAATGGCACTTCTCCTAACCACAGGTATCACCTTAAAAGCAGTGCATGGTTTCTAATCCCATGACATTTTTAATGGGGAAACTATTCCTTTGCCAATAAACAAAAAAATATCTTCAGTTAATGGGTACCATACACACTAATGCTCATCCCTCTCTCAAAAACCTCAAAATAAATGTACCGAATCTTACCAAGGGTTGTTCAGTTAGGATTTAGCATTAACTAAATTCAAAAGGAAAGGCACAGGGGGAGGGGAGTGGAAAGAACCACAGAGAGGATCCAATTCAGGATTTACCTGCTGTATCTTCAATTTTTTTTGACCAGCTGTAAACGAAGGAGGATCACATTCTTCCTCCAAGTCAATCTTCATAAACTCATCTATGGTCAGCTGACTGGTTGGTGTATCTTGAAACTCTGTCAACCTACCAAAGCATACAGCACATGACCAAAACATCTATAAGAACTCCTCTGAAAGTAACAAAAATTGCCAGCTGCCAAGCTATGGAATAAACATCTCACCCTCAGCAGCTCTGGCTCAAACACAGACTACATTAAAACTGAAGTGCTACTAATTGTTTCATCTGCTGCAAAAAAAGTATCTTTTCATATCCCAAATTAGCTTTTGTTTATTAGAGTATGTAACATACTTTTTTTTTTGATGAACAAAGACTGAACAGAAATACTGCAGCCCCTACAGTCAATTAAGTATAGACAAAACTAAGACAAGAAACACAGCTCATTCCTCCCCTCTCGTTGCTTTTGTTATCAATAGCAACAACAAAATGGATTCACCAAATAAAATATCTGTCATCCTGGTTTAGGAGTTTCTCAAAAAATCTTGCTGATATGTCATCATGATTAATTTACACAAAGCAAATGTTAAAGTAACATCTTTTCAGCAGGCTGGAAGAGGGACAAGAAATAATCTTCTCAGGACACACAGAAGTAGTGGTAAAATAAATTGATCATTTGCACGTCACACAGATTAAATAGATGGATGAACATAATTTGACAATAATAAACTTTGGATTTGTTTAATGTTTGCATTTTTAAGTTCCTACCTATGTGAGAGATCGGACTGGCTCCATGGGGAATTGCCATGAAAGCAGATGAGTCTTTCACAGGAATTCAATCTTAAATAAGACCACGTGGTCATAACTTAATCCACAAATACCAGCATTTTATGCAGGTGGCTGAGAATAAGCACATCCATTTTACAGATGGAGAAAATGAGACAAAAGGTTAAGTACAAAGCCAGGTCAGGAAACGTCTGGCAGAATGCTTCTCTGACAGAAAGTGCCCTTTTAATAATATCAACATTTTCCATGGGAAAATGGCAATGATGGGTCTGCAGCTGCTTCACTGGAATATTCCCATCTTTCAGAGGAAGCAGAGCTGACAACAGCTTCCATCTGCAAAGATAGGGAACTAAAACTGGTGATTCAGTGCTCTCAGCACAGAACCTTTCTGCATTTCTCTCCCCCTAAAAGCAGTTGTGGTTTTCTCCTCAGTTCTCTCCTCTACCTTTGGTTGCAATAAAAGTCTCTCTGAAGAGGGAATTTTCTCTAGGACAGAAATTCAGTTTCTAGCCAACACCAGGGTCAAAGCCAGGAGCACAGGGCCACACTCTCCTACTATATCCTCATCAGTCTCTGTGTTTCTTCCTTTATAAAGCGAGGAGCAAGACAAAACACCCATAAGGAGGGGTGTAGGCAGGCTGCCACTGCAGGACACTTTGCCTGGAGACATCCCACTCCTGGAGCAGGGGCCAGAGGCCACAGGCAGCATCTCATGTCATGAAATGCACAGAGAGAGCCAGGCACCTCTGTGTGACTCCAACAGCAAGCAGCACACTAAGCCCATGCATGGCTACGCCAGCCAGAGTTAGTGCTGCTGTGGAGAAGAAAGCCTCTGAAAACCAGACTCACTTTTGGAATTCAAGCATCTCCACAAAGCCCCAAATTAGCCATGTACTTAAGAGTGACTGACAGCCCAAACCCTTCCCTCAGAGTACCAGGGACCAGCTCCCTCCTCCTCTCTTTCAGATCAAATTGGAAAGGAGAGGAGGATGCTGTTGGCAGCAGCAGCACCCAGCTTTTAATTAAAAGACTAGAAATCTTTCTTGGCGTTAACAGGCTTCCAGCATGCATTACCCACCTTCCAGGAGGGAGCCACATCTATCAGGTTAGGGGGAAAACCTGGCTAGGGCACTATTATTATTATTATTATTATTATTATTATTATTATTTAAATTCAGGATTCACTTAATGCCAAACCCATGTATCATTTGAGGAGCATGGATCTTCCCAGTCACAATCATTAAAGAACAGCCATCCATCTCTCCACAAATGAATCATGGCAGCCCTACTTCAGCATGACTCTTCCTCCCAACCAGCCTCACCTTATTAAAATACTCTCCTCCCAGTGTTAAAAGCCAAGGTGCACTTTGGCAAAAACACACAGTTTATTTATCCAACACTTGCTCTGAGCCTGAGATGAGCTGCCAGAGCCCCACTGAAGCAGCACCACCTCTGCGCATGCCGAGCAGCCAGGAAAACAGCAGGAGCAAAACCCATGAAGCCAGGCTGGGGACAAGATGACCATGCTGGGTGTCAGCACCTAAGGCCTGCAGACGCCTCAGGCTCTGTCTGTCCCTCTCCTGCCCAGTGTCACCTGAGTCATGGCACGTACCCTGCACCCATCAGACACCAGCCCTGCAGTGAGACAGCGAGCCGGAGCTGGCACGAGCTCCAGCCCAAGCCCCAGCTCCACACAAGGCAGGATGGGTCCCTCCCAACACCTTCAGTGTGGCTGCCCTAGGACAGGGCAGAGCTACATCATGGTTACTGCCAAGGAGCTCAAACCCACAGCACAGCATGGTTCAGCCATTGACCAGGCCACCAGCACCCAGTGCCACAGCCCTGCCCTCCCTCCTTTCCTCAGTCCTGATCCAAGCCAAGCAGGCCAGGGCTGACCACCCCAGGGGGACGGCTGCCAGCATCACAGTGTAAGCACAGGCTGGTGGTGATGCAAATTTAGAGCAGAATGTTATTTTTTCACTTCTCTCAAGTCCTTTCCCCAAGGTTCTAACCCTTCTCCCAAAACGAGGAACCATTCCTGATGGTCAGGATCCCAGCTTGAGCATCATCTCCGTGGGAGAGCAAGCTGCACACTCAACGTTTTCTCCTTTACACTCAACATTTTCTCCTTTAACTTGATATAAATAAATACCTGTGTTTGCCAACCACTCGCCTGCCTCAACATTTTACACTGGCTGATATCCTGTCTACATATTTTTAAACATTCTTTAATTTTATCCACTGTTTGGACACATGCCACCAAGGCAACAAACTGATGCTGCAGCAGTCTGCACCACATGAAACAAAGCAACATTAGTTTGGCAGTTAAGAAAAACTGACACAACCTTAATTATAAACACAATAATTTCAGGGGCAAGGGAGTGGCTTCATGAAAAAAAAAATAGCTACAGGCTATTTTTTAAGTCCCACATAAAAATGCTATCCAAGTTCATTTTTCACTTTTGTTAACCTAAAAAAATCTAATAAGAGTTGCCACTTTAAGTTATGCACAGACAGAGGGAAAATAAACAGATATACAAATTAAAATATTATTTCCTTGGCACAAAATCAAAAAGGCTTTAAAAACTGAAATTTGGCAGACAAGGATTTTCTATTTATAGTCAAAGCAGAGGCAACCACTAAAGCTCAGGCTAAGATTCAACTTCCAGTATAAACCGTCCTCTTACAGTTTCTCACAGCAAACTCTTTCAAGAAAATTCCTTTGGGAGAAAAGTTTTTCCAGAGCCTAGTGTCATCTGCCTCTAACCCCAACCATTTTTAAAAAGAAAAATTTCCACAGTTGTTGTTTCATCCATATACAGACAAAACCGCACCTCTGCTTCTGATAAAGCACTTTGCACTTTTGTGCACAAACCAGTAAACTGATTCTATTCACACTTAATTTAACTCCCAATAAGGGAAAATGGGTCAATCATTTTGAAGTTACATGCAATGTCCTTTTTACTTTGTTTTGTTCCAGGGATACCGTCCAGTGGAGACTCTTGAATCCAGTCTGCAGTGATAGAAAAAACAAGATTTGTGTGTGCAGCTAAGGGCTCAGGTTTAGTGTTTAATTCTGCAGCAGTGGGGTGTGACAAAGAACACAAAAGAACAAGGACTTCTGGACTCCAACTCACAAATCCTTCAGGAGCCCAAGTTCAAAGCCCAAGAGGGACTTCTAAGCAGAGACTATTCAGGAACAGCCACGGTGTCCTTCTGCCTATACACAATCAGCATCCAGCTCTAGAAAGCAGGCAGCATGAGCAGAACTATCTCCATACAGAAGGGCAAACAAATTACAGCTGCAGAGAGAGCTGTTTTGTTAAAGAGGGAACATGAGGTTTAGCCTGAGCCATCAGCCTTTAAGTTACCTGTTGTGAGAGGTCTTTTTAAAGTACTTAAAGTATTTTATCAGTGGATTAGAATAATAAACTGAATATGCCACACTGTTAGCAGAAATATATGAAAAAGAATCTTTATTGCAAGATAAACTGGTGCTAGCAACTAAACTCCCCTGAGTTTTCCCAAATTAACAATATAATTAAAACCATAAGTAATACCTTACATGATATCTATATAATCTTAACTGTGGTATCAACTACAAACATTCTAGCAATAGATCAGCTGATTTGACACCTCAGACAATTCCAGACTCTGGAAAAGTAAGGGATTTACTTTTGTGTCTTAGTGAAGAACCAAAATATTGCAGAACACCACCACTGTTTTAATTTAACCCTCATCAGTGCCTCCTGCCACTCCAAACCTGTGCACTCAAGAGAAGCTCAGAATTCACACTGGTGTTCAAACCATCTATACTACAAATCTAACAGTCTGTTGCATCATCCTTCTCTTCTTATTTTTTTCCAAGCCATACAATGTTTACACATGAACTATTTATGGAAGTTTGTAAACACATACCCTAAAAGTGATACTTAATATAGAACATATATCTGAAATAGTTATTAAATGCTTCCTACATGACATAACAAAAAGTTTTCCAGCAGCCACCACTAAGTAAATAAATAGAAATCTCCTGATATGTAAACATTGTACATATAATTAATTTTACTTGTATTTGCAGTAATATAAAAGGTAGTTTTAAGCCTGTATGAATGAGTATCTCATTACTAAAGGTAAGGAGAAAATCAGAGGTGATCCAGCTGCTGTGGTTTTACAACTTAGAACTTATCACCTGAGCTGTGCTAAATTATTCTGTCTGTTCCTAACCAAATGCAACTGTTAAAGAGAAATATTCTCCCTTTACACAACTTCCAACATTAATACACATCACCTCTTTTTGCAATGGACTAAGAGCATAGACACGGTCATTTACTTCCAATTAACAGATGACTGGTAATTTATGGAGCTCATTTGCTGGCAACTCTCTGATGTTTCTCTAAGTATTAAGAACAGGTACCTCTAAAGACTGTACTGAATAAAGCACCCTTTAGAATTAGTTCCTGTTACTTGCTCACACCAACACAGAGATTTAAAACTGTCACAAATTCATAAGCATAAATTTTAAAGCCCTCATTCTACAAATGCTTACACACAGAGTTAACTTGCATTAACACTTGTGACCCACGATCAGCCCTGGATAATCCCACCAGCACCTCCCTGGCCATCCCAGAATTCTGTCAGTCTAAACCACCCGAAATTTTTTGTTCTTTTTTCCCCCTCTGATTCAAATGCTCACACCATGCTAATGAAACAAAATTTGTTAGCATTCCTTAAAATTCTGCTTCATTAGCATGTTCCTTTACTGTGTTCTGTCAAAAGCACTCTATGATCTCCTGGAAAAGAAAAATAGAGCTGTTTAATTTCTCAACAGCCACTCAGATGAGGAAAGTCAAACACAGGAAAACTATTTACAAGATCTAAGCCTGAGTTAGTGCAAACAAGTTACTGATTGTTTCAAAAGTAAGTGTCACCAAGTAATTTTGAAATTATATCTTTAAGTATGATGTATTAAAATATATTAGGAATCTAACTAATGTATTAACTTGCTAACTGTATAGAAGCTAGATTTATAAAAAGGAACATTGCCTGTGAAATTGGATACCTCAGAAATAAAACCTTTTTTTTTTAAATCAGACCATCCAACTTACAAAGGTATGCAGTATCAGCCCACATGGATCAAGTTGTATTTTACTCACCATACTAGAAAGGTTTCTGAAATCATCTGTAAGCCACTTGAATTGACTGAACTGGAGACATGAGATATTTCTCAATTTAGCTTATGCCAGCCAGCAAAGGAGCTGCTCAGTTGCTGAGCTGAGATCAGAGCAGACACCACCACCAGGTCCTTTACATGAAATAAATCTCCTGGTGTTCTAAAAGCTTCTCTCCACATCACACTCCAAGCAAGAGCCCTTACATGACTCTGACATTCTGAGCATCCTCAGCCCCTCCATGCTGAAACATCTCAGGAGGCCAGCTCTCCCTGACCCACTGGATACCCTCCACAGAATTTCAGCAAGGCTGTACTTGGATCACAGCCCAACACTGACTCCTACACGCCTTTCCCTTCAGTCCTGGCCTTGACAGGGCTTTGGTGTTTTGAGTAACCACCTCACAGCCACCTCACAGCTGCCCATGTCCCTGTTACCTTCCCTTCTCATCCTGACTCATGTATGGCTCCTCTCTTTGCCTTCTCTCTCAGGCATCCATCTATCCAGCTTGAGAGACACAAGGTTTATGCCAGCCACACATTACAGAAATTAAAAAAAAAATAAATAAAATCTGCAGGCAGTACATTGAGAACATTTATCTCCACCCATAAATCATTAATTTTTCCAGAAAATGATCACCTCAGTCATTGAAAGAGCTGTTACAGGGTCCCCAGGATATAAGCAAAGGACCCCATTTATGAAAGTCCCTGCAGCATCTACAACTGGTAAGTGAAGCTCCTTTGTAACAAGTCTTGTCTTCCTTCCCAAAACACTATGAGGTTGTGAGAAAAAAACAATCACCCCAAAACCAAGCAATTTAAACCCATTCTGGTCTTTCGTTCCAATTTTTTCTAAATGAAGCTTTACTGCTTCTGAAGTTCATCACAAAATAAGATTTTTAGCAGACAGGACTTTATGGAACTGAGAAGTATTTTTTAATGCAAAAAGCAGTTCAATTTAAAGATAAAGTGAGCAAGTCAAAGCAGCAAAATGCAAATGTTAAGATAAGCTGATTTTTTTTTTAATTCTATGGAAGAAGTGCCTAAGATCTTCAAACAGGCATAAGGACTGCACAGTATTAGATAATGCACAATGGACAAGTATCACAAAAATTACTCTTACTGAAGGTAACACAAAATGTAGAACACAGAGAAAGCATGCAAGAGGTGAATAAAAAGATGAAGGGGCAAAATATTTAAAGGTTAAAAATACAGAGGCAAAGACAGGTGCATTGAACACAGGCACAAATTTGAGGACTCAACTAAATAAAAGGACTGGGTTTATTAAAAGTTAATTTCTGCTACCTCCACGGATGATTACATAGAAAATAACAATTTGACTAATTAGCTAATATTTGTACAGTACTTTGAATATATGAAGTGATATATAAGTTAATATAATTTCAATTAGACTGGAAATGAGATAGAATTATCAGTGCATTTATTAATATTTAATAAGTTCGCTTTCAACAACAGCAACAAGCTTTACATTTTAATTGTGTGCTTCAAAACCTAAAGCTAGAAGGCCCTGCAAAGTGACTTCAAAGTTTTCTCTACCAATACTACCAAAAACCCACTCACATTAAAAATAAACAAGAACTGCTTTTTAACCAAACCAATGCCCAAATTAAGGACTCTTGACTGGAGGATGAGTGACAGCACACACAGGCTGTCACTTTTCCTTCCAAAACAGACTCCCCTTATGATCAGGTTGTGAATTTTTATGACCTGAAGATACCTCACATTTTTGTGAACCTCCTCCAGAGCTACTCCTCCAGCTGAGAGCAGAGAAAGAGGACACAGCCTCCAGGCAGGAGGGCTTGGTGCTCTCCAGCTGATGGACAAGGGGGTGAATTAATCCAGAACCAGAAACAGGGCCCTTCCCAGGGGAGGGCTGCCACCCCTTGCTGAGGGTCTTCCCCAAGCATTCCCAGGAATTCCCAATCAGGATTTCTTAAGGAGCATCGTTCCTGCATCCTCATCCACACATTCCTGTCCCTCCCAGGAAAACACACACCACGTGGGACCTGCCCTTGCAGATTTCTGCCACGGGTACCAAAGCAAACCCAGCTTCCCAAGGTCTGTGCTTCCCCAGGAAGGCAGCTGGGAGCTAAATCAAACTACACAGCAGAACCTGCAGGCTGGAAGTGTCAGCATTATCTGGACTCATGTCGGGTTTCACTTCTGGAGCTGTCAGGGCAAAGCCATCAGCAGTGAGCACAGCATCCAACACCTTCATAAAACACAGCAGCAGCTACTCTTTACCAACCAGAGTAACTATAATTAAAAGGAAATAAAACTGCACATCAAACTGAGAAGTAAAGGAATTTTTAAGAATGTGAACTAAGTTCTTATTCATTTAGACAAATTCTATTTGATGGCATTTTGAAAGGAATTCTTGAAAGAAGAGGAAAAAAACTAGAGTGCAGAAAGAGTTATTCAAAGGTATTTTTTTTATTTGCCTTCCTTAAGTACTATATAACGTGCTCTTATTTGAAAAACATCAATCAAATTTATAGATTCGTGATAAATAGTTGTAATTATAGCTGCCTGAAAATAATTCAGCTGTCACGTTTACCCTGTCAAAGTAAATAAGGCTGTCATTTTAGTTGATGTGTGTGACTTGAGTAAACATTTCAAAGCATGAATTTTGAAGTAAGATTTTCTCGCTTGAAACAATTGTTCAAATTAATTTCCCTTCCAACCCTAATTTATTATGCTTATTTTCTTAGTAAGTACAAACTCTTGAGCTATTTAACCAAAGCATCTTGGAGCAGATTGTGGTGCATAACTCATTAATCATACAAAATGCACAACTGAAACACATGACCTATTGGCCAGAGAAAAAAAGGTGGCATTGGTACTGCTCCATCCTCATGGCTGTAGTACCTGGAAGCATTTAAAACACTTTATACCACCCATGCATAGCTGGAAAATAGCATCATTCCTGTTCCACCAATGAAGATCTGGCAGAAAACATTTTCCACAATTAAGAAGTGAATATTTTTAACAAGTATTATGTTCAATTGGATGTGCTTAAGCTGATCCCAGCAAGGTGAGGAGAGACAGGAAGCTTTCTAAAGACAGACCTTGGGGGAACAAATATCAGAATATATTGGTGATAGAAGAATTTCCAGCTGTAGGCAACAGAAATCATGGCATTTCTGTCAGGTCATTTTTAACTCAACCTATGGGGAAAGAGTATGTTACAACCTTTCAAAAGTAAAATGACAGACACTGGGTATCTGCTTGCATCATTAAACTATGGAAAATACTACTTGATCTTTAAAAAAATAAACACACAAAAGGTACTTGAAAAATTCCCATTTTCAGGGGATCCTTCACTGAACTTATAATTAGATTCACTGTGCTGTCTTCTATTTGTTAGCAGCACAACACTACCAAAAATGAACACTTCAGCAAAATATTTTGGAAAGTTCTGTTCAATAACAGCTTAAAGACAAGACTTTTCATCACTTGGCTTCTGGATTAATGAAAAAAAAATCTCACAGTAGACTGTCAGCTTTGAGAATCAATAAATTATTTTTTCTGAGGACATGACAATACTGTTAATATTACTGACACAGCATTATTTTGCCCTCAAGTCTTCACCTGTTAAATAGGCACAGTGCTCCTTACCATCTTTGCTGAGCATTTGAGGCCTTACATAAGAGGCAAGGTGTTGGTACTTTAAAATGACCAGCTAAAACATACACTTATTTGATTCATGGCACTTACAAAAACAACCCAGTTTTCTCTAATATACATTTATTTTAGACTATATCACTGTTCAGTACTGTAAACCAAAGATAAAAGAAGTAAGACTGCACTGACCTTTTCCTTAATGTGGACTCACAAACCTTCACCACCCTGATGACCTCTTTAACAGTCCGTCGGAAATCATGCATTCTTGCTGCCACTAGCAGAGCTAGAGAACAAGCAGGGAAAGTTAGTATCAAAAAGAGGGAAATTTCCTGAAGAAAAGCAGGAAACAGTCAGGTTTTCTTTGTCCCTGCCTTCAGCTAAGGAGCTGTAAATGCCCATGGTCAGCTATGTCCCTGAATATTGGTGATGGACCTGACTTCACAAACTCTGCTTTCTACCCACTAAGCTGAGTGCAAGTTGTACCCTGAAAAATTCTGTGCTTTAACATTTGGGAAACAGTGGTTATCTACAGCACGAGAATATTTCAATGATCACTTATTTTCAGCTACCATTTTTTTAGCAGGACTCACTGAATTCTGTCCCAAATAAAAAGATCTCCAGAGAAACACTGAATATGCCTAAGCTGGTCTCCTCATTGCTGCCACTACTATCCTTGTCTTGCTGGTGTCCAAGTGCTCTCCTGCAGGACCCTCTAAATGCCAGATAACCAGTTGCATTTACATGGTATCTTGATTCAGAGCACCAGCTCTGTTTTGAAGCACCACCCCTACTCATCATACAGTAGCTCAGTACACAGAGCAGTTTTAAACATAAAAAATGTTTTTTTATAGAGGAAACTACACTAGAGCTCTACTTCTGGTATGTGTTTAGAGTGCTCCTAACAGGAACATCAGGGCTGAACTAACAATTGGTCATTGGAGCTGTGTGTGGCACAGACTTTTAAGCCAGGAAACCAAACTAAACCCAGTCCACAGTCCAACACATGAGCTGCATATTGCATGGATGGATGGAGGGGGCTCAGCACCACCTGCTCCCATCTATTGATCCATGTCTGTAGAATTAAATTACTTGCTCGTGTGGATAGAGCCCATGTAGCACATCAAAGAGCAGGCTGCTCTCCTATAGCCTATATTCAAATTTTTAGCAATGTGCAACATCAAGTTGTACCATTAACAAAAAGGGGCTAGAAATGCCAAAAAAATTTTGCATAGTCCTGGGTTCTCAAAGGTTTGAGCATTACTTCTCATTCATGCATAAACATGTAAGATCTTTCAAATAAAATAATGCACATACATGAACTCTGTGACTAACTACACTCTTCATTACTCTGACCCCACTGGCTACTGTCTTTTAACCTGGCCCTCCCAAACCCACAGGTTTTATGCAAGCATCATGACAGTGATGGATCTTGGAAAAAGATGAAGAAGGAGAGAAAAATAGTTTCTCACAAAACAGGTCAAAGAGGGCACTTCTTGCATAAGACTCTGTGTAAAGACACAAATCAAAGTGCTTGTACTAATGGTGTCATTTTAGCTGACAAAAAAAACCTTTTAGCAGCTAGAGCCTGCAGAGCGGGGGCAAGAAAAGCACCAGAAAGGAGCTTAAAAAAATTTCAAACCGTAAGCTACAAAGGGTCTGAGCAAGTACTGTAGGAGCAAGGGCAAAAATGAAGTTATAGTTCCAAAAACTATTTCCATGAAGACCTATATAATCTGTAGATGCCTGACAGAACAAAACTCCTAGAAGATGGATATCACCAGCGAGAAGGGGGGAAGGGGCACGGCCAGGCTCGGACGTACCCGCCCCGCAGAGCCCCGAGGGCCGGCGCCCCGTGTGCATCCAGTCCCTCTTCATCCTCTGCAGCAGCCTCAGAGCCGTCATGGACACCTCGTGGTTCTTATCCCCGAACTCCAGCATGTGTGCAAAACGGGGAATGTACAAACACGGATCTGCAACAGAAAGTAACACAGTTATGCCAAGCCCTAACATGGATTTAGGAAATGCAGCGCAGCAAGGCTGCCGGGCTGGTCTGGCTTCACCTCAGCAAACAGAGACCATGCTGCTGGGCAGATCCTCTACCACTAAGCTTTAGAAGCTTTTTTAGATAACCTAAAAGAAAATAATTTCTTGCTCTCTACACAGGAAATCTTTAAAGCACTGCACAAACATTCCTACATGCTTTTCAGCATCCAAGGCTGCACATGCTGACAGTGACATGCGTGCAGTGTTACTGGTATCAGAGAAACCATGTCCAAAGTGAAATATTTACAAAAGCTTTTGCAGAATGAGGACACAATTTAGGCCCAAAACTTCTAACATCTTTCCCAAAACTCCCAACATCTCTCAAAAAGTAACAAGGTAACTTGCATGTTTCATCTCAAACCTAACTACCAACTAAGCTTGAAAAAAATTCAGTTGCTTAAAATCCTCCCTAACAAAAATCTAGTTACCTTCCAAGGTAATTCCAGCTGCTTCTCAGACTCACATTCCAAGAATACAAAACACTGCTTATTACAGACACTAAAGCAGACTTCCATCAGTATAAAGTGCTGGAACCCAATTAACATCATTAGCACTATGACAATTTACATCGGCCACAGATCTGCCTCCAGATGTATAAACTTATTTCAAGCGTTGGTGTTAAGAGCTTCAAACTAACCAAAATATGTCAGTACAGACTGTGCTCTGCCTAAACCAATTTATAATTTATCAAACAATCTTGTAAAAGCTATGCTTAACACATGTTTACTCTTAGTTGAGATATCAATTTCTCATTTCCTGCCAGCCTTTTATCACTTGACCGAAAATCCATGATGTACGGTAAATTGTTAACTATTAGTCTCAACTCAATTTCCTCTGCTGATCCCCTACGTGGGCACTTAAACCGATAAAGATGAAAATTCAGCTCAAAATACTGTAAAAATCTTAGGGATTTACAACTAATCAAAGCAGTTTCATTTAGCACCAAGTCCTAACAATGATGCCCTGTTGCTATCCATAATTACCAAGATCACACCATAGGTGATAATGCCTGTCAGCCCTGTAGAAGCATTTAAATGAAAGCACTTACAAAGCAAGAACTTCCAACCTCAAATTCCCCCAAAACTGAAGAAATTCCAGGCTGCAAACATGACTCAAAAATCAAAGGTTTAGGAGAACTTTATCAATCCCCATGATTCTAAGGACAGGTGTTCTGCACTTCCACGTATGACTTTATAAAGCTCTACTCTAGAGAAATGACATATTCCAAATTCAACAACAAAAAACCCAACCTTTCAGAAGCCATAGCCTGGGGTTCAACATACATCTAAATTTTGCTCTTGGTACTACAGGAACATGTAGCAATGCCTGGTTTGCTTTTCCATCTCTTCTTATCCAGAGACTGCCCAGCTTCAGCTCCTGCAGCTGCCAGAATGGAGCAGACAGTATCCTGGCCACATATTGCTTTAAATATATATCACTTATTCCATCCCCACACTAGGTTGAGAATTACAAGGGGAAGGAATTCCAACATCAATTCAAAGGGAGATAACTGACTATCTCCTCTGGGTTTGGCCCTTATTCTTGCCAAAGCCAGTGGCAAGAGCTGTACCCATGGCATCTTAGTATCTATCACCAGCTTCAAAAGGGGTTTCTTTATTTTCATTTATGTCCATTCATTCTTTCAACCCAGCCCAAGCTCTGGGGGTGCCAGGGGATATGGAGGTTCCATTGTATTCCTAAAGCACTCATAACCCCTTGAAGGATATTTCGTGTAAAATGAGTTCCCCTATCTGAGTCTATTGCTTCCATAATTTTGTATCTTGGAATTATTTGTTCCAAAAATACTTTAATAACTAATCCTGAAGTTGCTGAAACAGTTGGAAATGCTCCTGGCCACCCTGTTGGCTAACATACTATTACCAGAAAATACTTAAACCTTGCCACTTTGGGTATTTTGGTAAAATTCACCCGGCATCTCTGGGAGGGACATATAGCCCAAGACCTCCCTCCCCTGGCAATTTTCTTTGTAACCCTGTTATTGGTTTTTGCACAAATCAAGAAACCTTCAATAGCTCACTTTGAAGAGGTACAACAATTACACTTACCATGGGTAGGGGTACTCTCTAGAAATTGAACTGAATTAATAATAGTAATACACAATGCAAAGAAATAGGCTCACCTTTAGGAAAACCCCCTTTTCAGCTTTCATTCCTCCATCAATCCATTATTTATATGGAGTCAAACTTCACAGGATCAAACTTTGGCCAGTTTAATAATACTAGCAATTGGACCAGAACTACCTCCATTCTTTTCACCACATACCTCAACAGATTTCGAGGAGCAACTCTCAGCTCTGTCTCTGGAGCTGAGTTTCAGAGCTGAATTTTGGGAGCATTTACACATTTGCATTGTAGCTGTTCAGACATTTGTGCTGGCATTCATGCCCACAGGTCATTTGACAAAACATTGCACATCGTTAATTTGAATTCTGAAGCTACCAAACAGTCAGAAAATGAATACGTGGGTGGGTTTTAAATAGCAAGCCTTAAAGAAACCAAGTAAAGTAGGACAGTGAATAAATAAATCAGAGGCCAAGCCCAGGTTAGCATATACAGGTCCTGCATGGATGTAAACATTTGAAAATAAATAAATAAGAACTGTTAGAAGCTGCAAACCCCAAACACATTGCTTCGTTCCAGGGGCACCAAACCAGCAAGGATGCACCTGCTCACAGGAGGGTCCCCTTTGACTTTGGGTAACCTCTGGGGCTGCAACTCCACACACGAGAGCAAGTTACAGTCGGGCAAAACCCTGTCGGTTTCCCTCAAAGGGGATGTTGGGGGCCGTGAAGCAGACCACGAGAAAAACATTATTTCATGTTTTAAGCAAGGAGCATGTGTTTTGCTGAAAACTCCCTTCTCTCCTGATCCCAATTCTGACTTGGAACTTGGACTTTTGGAAGAACTTTGTGCCACATAGTCACTAAGAGGGATGTAAGAACAATTTCGAGTTGTGCTCCGAAGAGCGCTCCCCACCGAGAGCGGCAGGGCCCGCAGCGAAGCGAGCGCCGATCCCGCTGCAGGTCGCCCCCAGGGAACGGGCACAGAGATGGGGACAGTCCTCCCCGAACGATCCCGGAGGACGGGCGGGACGGCCCGGGCGGGGACGGCGGGCACAAGGAGGGCACAGGGCTGCGGGTAGAGGGGTGGAAGGCCAGCAGCGTGTCCCTCATGGGGAGCAGCCCCGCCGCGGCCGTGCCCCCCGCGCCCCGGTGGGCGGCCCCGCGGGGCAGCGCTCCCCCCCCCGCCCAGCGCAGCGCGGAGCGGCGGCGCCCCCGCCCGGGCCGCCCGGGAACGGCGCTGCGCGCTCGGGGCCGCCCCCTCCGCCCCGCCGCGGTCCCCCCGCGCTGCCCCGCGTCCCTCCGCGCCTGTCCCGCTGCGGCCGGAGCGGGGACACCGGGGGGTGCAGGGGGACAGATCGCGGGGGACCGCGGGGCTCGCTCCCGGCGGGCGCCCGGCGCTGCGCACGTAGGCACCGGGGGGGCGGATGACGGGCGGGCAAGGGGCGGCCCTTTCCCCGCCGCGCCCCGGCGCTCGCCATTGGCGCGGGAGACCGTGACGCGCGGCGCGGCCGCTGCCTCTTAGTGCGGGAGGCGGAGGCAGGGCCCGGCAGAGCCGCGCCGAGCCCGGCCGCGTAGCGCTGCATCCCACCGCCAAGGGAGCGCCCAGGGCAGCGCCGCATCCCTCCCGCCCGCCGCGGAGGAGCCGGGGCGCCCCGCGGGCAGCAGCGCCCCTGGCGCGGGCGGGAGGAGCGCGGAGGAGCAGCAGCAGCAGCGACGGCGGCGGCGGCCGCCGCGGGGACCGGAGCAAAGTTGGTGCGAGCGGCGGCGGGGCCGCCCGGGAGCGGGACTGCAGGGAGCCGCCGCCTCGGCTCGGCCCGGCCGCCGCGGATGTGCCCCCGGCGGGCCGGGAAGGACGGAGCGGAGCACTGGCAGCGGGGATCGGGCGGCTGGCTGCGCTTCACCCTCGCCGGGCTGCTGCACTCGGAGGATTTGTGGATTGACTCTCGCTCCTGACCCACCGCCTCTGCTGGATTCCTGGGGTTTTGTTGCTGGATTTTGGATTTTTTTTTTTGGTTTTTCCTTTTTTTTTTTTTTTTCTTTTTTTTTTTTTTTTTTCTCTCCCCGTTCCTTGGGGAAGGAACTGCCTGCCGGCCCCACTCGGGCTCCCCGCTGCAGTCGTGGCAGTGCCGTGGAGGCTGGGACCCCCCCACAAGCCAAGGTGAGCGCTGGCACTGATCCGACACAGCATCACCCCTTTCCCCCCGGAAAGGTGCGTCGGGCCGGTAACCAAAGAGCGGGCACACACTCCAAAAAAACCAAAGGCCACCCTGCATCTAGAAGCGTACAAAATATCCTGATAGTGGGACTCGCATTTGGGATCTGTTAGTTCTCTTGCTCATGCCACTGCCCCCTGGTTGCCTCAATGGCAGGATCATGAAGTGTTTGACTTTTTTTCTTCTGCTTCCAGAGACCTTAAAGAAGTCCAAAAAGAGTGTGAGGTCAAACGGCAAGGTGCCAGGATGCTATGAGATAGTGCCCCTGTCCCTGAAGAAGAAGATGGCTGCAGAACTTTACCCTGCCAGCACCAACACTAACATTGCAAACAGCAACGCCGCCGCCGCCGCCACCGCTGCCAACAGCAAGAAGAACGCCCTGCAGCTCCAGCAGAGCGCCCAGCCGCCCCCGCCGCCCCAGCTCCAAAACCTCAACAACAACAACTTGGAGAGCGCCAACTGGCAATCCTTCCATCCCACGCTGCGGGAGAGGTAAGGGCCAGGCCCGCCGGACCCTCCCCGGGCGGGCGGGAGAGAGAGAGAGAGAGAGAGGCGCCCGCCCTGTGGCCCTGTGCACCTGCGCCCCGGCCAGGCGAGAGCGCAGGGCTGGGCTGGAGCCGCGGGGGCCGCCGGCGGGAGGCTGGGGCACCGGGCGAGGGCAGCCCGCGGCTAACGGGGCTTCTCCCCCCTCCCCTGCTTGCAGGAACGCGCTGATGTTCAATAACGAACTCATGGCTGACGTTCACTTCATCGTGGGCCCGCCAGGGGCATCCAAGAAAGTTCCTGCCCATAAGGTTTGTGCAGATAATTTTTGGCTTTTTTAATGCTGCTGTGCAGGTCGCCTTTTCCCCCTGCCTTACAACTAGGTTCCACTTTTTTTTTTTCCCCTAATTATAGCTCTTGTCTAATCCCAGAAGTAATTCGCATATACACTGCAATTAAAGGGAGCAGTCTAAGGCAGTGTTCTCTTTCCACTGCAGCTTGTAACTTTCGCTAAATGTAGCTTTTAGGAAAGCCAGCACGCTCAGCTGTTCCTGATCCATGTTACTGAGGCTTCTCTCTCTTTATTTTCCAGTATGTTTTGGCAGTTGGTAGCTCTGTCTTCTATGCTATGTTTTATGGCGATCTCGCAGAGGTCAAATCTGAAATCCATATACCAGATGTGGAACCTGCAGCCTTTCTAATCCTATTAAAGTAAGTGGCCACTACAAGTCTGCTAATTACATGGACAGAATCAAAGTAGCTTATAAAATATACATCTCCTAATTGACATTGTGCAATATGCACTTATTGCTGTTTACTTAATGTGCTGACAAATACTGAACGTCAGATTCACTGCCAGCAAAGACGAATATAGATTATTTTCATGGCCTACTTTTTTTTTTCCCTGAGAAACTAATTTTTTTTTTTTTCACCCCTCCGTCTAGATACATGTATAGTGATGAAATAGACCTGGAAGCTGACACAGTTCTGGCTACACTCTATGCTGCCAAGAAGTACATCGTGCCGGCCCTAGCAAAGGCTTGCGTCAATTTTTTGGAGACCAGCTTAGAAGCGAAGAACGCTTGTGTCCTGCTGTCTCAGAGCAGGCTCTTCGAGGAGCCAGAGCTGACGCAGCGCTGCTGGGAAGTGATTGATGCTCAGGCAGAAATGGCACTGAAGTCAGAGGGCTTCTGTGAGATAGATCAACAAACACTAGAGATCATTGTAACCCGGGAAGCACTCAACACCAAGGAGGTGGTAGTTTTCGAGGCCGTTCTCAACTGGGCAGAGGCTGAATGCAAAAGGCAAGGGCTGCCGGTGACGCCACGCAACAAGAGGAATGTATTAGGGAAAGCTTTGTACTTGGTGCGGATTCCAACCATGACTTTGGAAGAGTTTGCCAACGGAGCTGCCCAGTCCGACATCCTCACCCTTGAGGAGACTCACAACATATTCCTATGGTACACAGCCGCAAATAAACCCAAACTAGAGTTCCCCCTGACGAAAAGAAAAGGACTCGTGCCTCAGCGCTGCCACCGGTTTCAGTCGTCTGCGTATCGCAGCAATCAGTGGAGGTACCGGGGCCGGTGTGACAGTATTCAGTTTGCCGTAGACAAACGGATATTTATAGCGGGACTGGGATTGTATGGCTCAAGCTGTGGCAAAGCTGAATACAGCGTCAAAATCGAACTGAAGCGCTTAGGCGTTGTCCTTGCTCAAAATCTGACAAAGTTTACCTCCGACGGCTCCAGTAACACCTTCTCGGTGTGGTTTGAACACCCCGTGCAGGTTGAGCAAGACACGTTTTACAATGTAAGTGCTATTCTGGACGGGAACGAACTCAGTTACTTTGGACAAGAGGGAATGACTGAAGTGCAGTGCGGGAAAGTGACGTTCCAGTTCCAGTGCTCCTCGGACAGTACTAATGGAACCGGAGTACAAGGAGGACAAATACCTGAGCTCATTTTCTATGCATGATGCATTTCACCTTGATTGTATTCCAGTGCTGCAATGATGCACATTAAGGGATTTTTTGGTTTTACTACGAACTCTGCAGCAGTATGGAATGTTATGCTACTTACCTATCTGCTACATCAGGCTATACAAATAAGTGAAGGAATGCTCTTGAATTTAATCTTATTTTATTTATTCATAAGCTATTTGACTTAATTATTAAGACTGCAACATGCAGAAAAATGTTAAATTTTGCACGTACTGTGCATTTATTTTGTATATAGATAACTAACTTGCAGACTGCAGCTGACTCAAACAGAATGTTCTAAACTAGAGCAGTTTACGGATCTGTGAAATATAAAACATTTTTACTTGCCCTAAATCCTGTGTACTTGATCTTTGCTGACCTTATGGCTCGTGTGTGTTAATTCATGTACAGCTAACAGGGGTGATGACACTGGAGTCTGGTCCCTGTGTGCATCCACACCCAGCAAATAGGAAGGTTCCCTCTCTTGGTAACTGAAACTATCCATCAGCAGCCTTTATTTTCCCTTCATGAGAAAAGGAGCTGACATTTGAGGAAGCTCAGGGTTTTTTGTGTGTTGTCCAAGCTGAAGATAGACAAACCATCAGTATAATCAAAGCTGATGAAAATCATCCTGTGGTTATATTTGAAAACTCCTAATGCCCCTTCCCATGCAGCATCTCTGTTATCCTCCAGCCTGCCCACCAAACAGCAACACTGCCACTGCACCTGTCAAACTATATCCCCCCTCGAAAGGCCAGAGTCAAGACACACAGATGAAGTTAATTAATTCAGTGACAGGGCTGCATCACAAATTTTGCCCAGGGCTGTATTACTGGCAGACACTATCTGAATTTACATCCCATCTTTATACAGAGCAGCAGGCATTAGAAAAATACTTGCAAGATGGTGTTAAGGTTCACTTAAGATTACGAATTAGAAATAAGCCACCTTAAAAAAAAGAAAAAAAAAGCTGTTGGATCTTTCCTCCTGCTCTTTTTTGGAAAACAGTCCCAGGCATTATCAGCAATCATTCTCTGCTAGTACTTTCCTCAGAAAGTGATAAAAGTTTTTTCTCAAAGGTCTCATGATGATAGCTGAGCCAATTAGAAATATTAAGTGGATTTTGTAAATCTTAGGATGGGCTTGGAAGTGAGTGCTCAAACAGCAGTCTAAACCAGTATTTTTTCCATGTATAACAAGTACCTCTACATCTAACAAGTTTGCCTTTTCCCAAGCTGCATTAATTTTCACCTTGAAACTAAGCTGCAATGCAAATCCTGCCTGTTTTCTCTCTCTAAAAAAAGGACCAAAAAAAGTAATGAAAAGTAAGAAGGGGAGTGGATTACTGGGAACAAGACCTCTGCAGCAGAGCTGAGCTGTGCTGTGTGGTGCTCTGTGTGGGAGCTGCTGCTCCCCTTGCTGCAGGAGCAGCAGCCCTGTGCCAGCCCAGAACAGCTCAAGGGGTGTGCCTGTGTTGTCCTTCTGCAACACAGCCATCTGATTCTCTTGGTACAGATGAAAGAGAGTGGGAGTGAGAGTGGGTAAAGATGCAGGCAGATAATTCCTACACAGTGGTGGGTAACAGTCACAAGACCTCGCTATAAATGCACTCTTTTAACTGGAATTGGCACAAATCCCCTTGGCTTAAACCCACAACCTGGAGAATGGCTTGTATACCCTTTTGACAGGTTAAACCCCACCTTCCTATCACAGTTACAATTTCAGTGTTGAGTTGTTTGAAGTTATTCACATGTTTGGAAAAAGTTGCTCATTTTCCACCAAGCCGCTCGTATTTCAAGCACTGATCAGCCCAGCTACAGGTGATGGACAAATAGTAAATTTGGCAAATACTTACCAAACGTTGCATCTGTGGAATTGAAGCGTGACAGGCCTGCAGGAGCTTGCTGACACACACAAATTTGTTACACGTCAGTCCATTGTCTTAGTATAGCCCAAATTACTCTTGGAAAAAGCAACAAAACTATTTGCAAAAGAAAACAGCATCTAGTTCCAAAAAAGCTCTTCCATAAAGGAGAACAGGCTCTTATAGTCAGCAATGCTCCTCGGCCTGGATTGATTCCAGCTTCACTATAAAGTTTCTACTTGAGTATTAATATACAATACTGTGTATATATACATACATACATATTTCTTTTCAAGTAACCATAGGAATAAAAGATTCAAATAGTCAAAAGTCATATCATTGAAAAAAATACCTATGGCTGGAGCATTGATGCAGAGTTCTCTGGCCAACACAAGGAAGGTTTTTCCCAGCACATAGACATTCACCTATTAAAAGACAAAAAAAGCATTATGTAGATCATAAACCACAAATGTTTTTAATAGAACATTTATATGGAAAGGAGAAAACCTCAACTTTCAAAATCTTAACCTGTTTAAAAAAAATTCAAGTTATACAAGCAATATTCATATGTACAGGATAATACTCAGTGCCTGTCAAAATCTGCACAAATTAGCATTGTAAATCAAAGCATAAGTTTATATTGAAAAAATTATAAAAAGTTGTTCATCATGCTCTTCAGTGGGCTCAGTGCTGCCTCTGTAGTACACTTTTTCAGTTGTCACATTACATCATAAGGTATTAAGAAGACTTCAATGTAATATCAGTATATATAAAGTTTCATTTATCTTGCACCATTACAAAACCTGAGCAAGTACAAGTCAGTACAAATTGCAGTTCTGCACCATCTGTAGTGGCATAATTAAGTATTGCACAAGCACACACCAAACTTTTCACCAAATCAAGGAGTGGTGCTACGTGCCCCAAGGGTTGTCTGTCAGATCTTGCTGTTTGGATATTGCCTCAGATCGCATTAAAAACATTAAGAAAACAAAAAACAACACAAAAAATAATCAGAAAAGCCCTAAACCACACCAAACCTGCTCAGGCACCAGGGACAGAGCTCTGCTCCCATCCCCTCCTTCACTGCTGCACCCAGGAGGATGCAAACTGAGGGTAGGAGTTACTCTTCATACTCCGATTTGCAATTTATAGCACAGACAGCCATATTTGTTTTTTACAAGTCTGAGGAAGTTTTCTTTCTCTATCTTAAGTTGTGTTTTTGTGGTCAGCAAGAAAGGCAGGATGCACTCCAGTTCCCAATCAGTCTCAAACATTCCCACGGAGCTCCATGAACACCTTGCTTCCCCCAAGGCATATGTAAAGGTCAAGGTTAGAATACAAAACTCCATCCTCCTACAAGGTTTTGGGGCTGTTTTGAACAATGGTATATACTCTGTTGCTTTTATGGAACAAAACTGCCCCTCTCTTTCCTATGCCTGGGTAGTGAAGTGTTTACTTAGCAGCCAATTACACATCTGAGTGATGATTATGGCACAAGCCTATGGAATTAAAAAAATATTGCTCTTTCCATTTCATCAAAGAGCTTTGCCAACATCAGGTTAAAAGCAGACTTTTAACCAAGTGTATAGATGGTTCTACCAGCCTAGCTAAAATATATCTATCTCAACAACAACCAAACCCCCAAACAACTGACATATTTTCACCTAGCCCTTCAAAATGTTTATGTGAAAATGTTCTTAATGTGTATTTTTCTCAAATATATTTTACAAATCAGAACTTAGAACTTCAAAGATATCGTCGGAATGATCACATATCCTGAAAGTGACTGTGCTATCAATTATACATGAGATGATGGTAATCCATTCCATATTTAGTGAGAAATGAGTGTATTTCATGCTGTGTCTGACCAATGGTTGGAGTGGCCTACAAGATACAAAAAATACAGCCTTAAGTTTCACTGCCCTTTTTCTTCCTGAAATAGCAGACAACATAGAAGCACTGTTCTAGGGGAAGGAAAAGTGCAAAATATACCCTCTGAATGAGACGTCTATTTTCTAGGAAATAAGTTACCAAATTTTATGCAGAAAAAAATCCACACCTACAGAATCTGGCAATTGATACTGGAGCCTGAGAGTGTGTGACTTTCCATGAGCCACTGAGACAGAACAGATATCACTAAAGCAAAATGTCTGCAGCGTTTCAGCTGGCTTTAGATTCACTGCAAGCTCAAAAAGGGTTGTTTTGACCTTTTGTCTAAAAAATATTAACATAAAGAATGAGTGTTTGGCTGTAATTTCAGCCTTCTAAGCTGGCAGACCAAGTTACTATAAATCTTGAACCTCATCACTTAGATCTTGTTCTGCAAGGACGATTTCACTGCACAAATCAATAAAGCTACTTCAGTGGAGCCAAGTACATATGATGTTTCCATTAGAGGCTTCACAAACTCAACCAGTTCTCTCATATTAGTCTAGGGAAAAAAACAACATAAAACTCTAATCCAAACAAGTCTTTTTTCCTTCCAGCCTTTTTCCTTGTCATGACATCCAAACACTTGATGGTTGTCACCATCAAACCCCGTCACTCCCTAAAACTCCTCCCAAGCAAACTTTCCATAAACCCAATAATAAAGAGCAAATAAATATGAAGAGGCATAAAGAAGCATGTATTTTTTTCTAGTGAAGTTCTAACAATCAAAGTGATTTCCAAATTAAATCTAAAGCAAAGACAAATGAATAATAAATGTGCTCAAATACTATTTATCCTTCTTTCCTTGGACTAACTAAAAGTCTCCTGATCTATGGTTTATTTGAGAAGTAATGCACTTAAATCTAACCTGCTTTTCCACTTCACCCACATCATCAGTGTTTTGTGACTGACTTCAAGATGCAGGCAATGTATTTGCACAAAATAATAAATTAAAATAGAAATGGTAAATGAGGGAATTTCTTTCTTTTGCTCACAAGCCCATTTCTTTGTAGTTTCTGGTTACTACCTATTTAGAAAGAAAGCAAAATATACAGTACAGTCCATGTTCTGTATTGTTTTCCTCATGAAGCTCACATATTTTCAATGCCAGGGTCACAAAAAGAATCAGGAATATTTAATTGCTTCCAGTTTTTCTGGCAAATCAGTAGGAAAAATGACTTCAGGCCCTCTCAAACAATATGCTTCTCAACTTTGAAAGTTAACAGATATTCACAGGTTCTGGGGCACTTCTCATAAATGAAAAATTAAAGATGGCATAAAGTTCACTCAGAAATCTATAATGCCACTCAACTCCTGAAACATGATATTTAAGATCTCCTGGGTTTAGTGGAAGGTGGCCCTTTCACTAAAATTTTATTCCTCTATCACTGATTTCAGCTATTACTCACATGCACACACAGATCCCGTGACAGAAGAGATATGATATAAAATAGGCATTTAGAGAGGTCTTTCTTTACTCTCATCATTTGGTTTTTCTGCACTCCATTAAGCTTAGAAAATTAGGAGAATTAATTTAGAGGCCTACTTTAATTTCTAGTTCTTTCTTCATTAAGAACTTCTTATAAAAATTCATATACTCCAATCCATCAAAAGCTTAACGTTCCAAATTTAGAATCATATGACATTTGCATTTATAAAAACTAATTTTATATGAGTTCTTAGAATGGTGAATAAACAAAAATGCCCTTCTAAAAGGATGTCTCTGGCTTAAACTTGAATTGGTACAGCTTTAAAGCTTACCACATCAACTTCAGCCTCTTTTCCCCTTAATTTAAAAGGATCATACTGAAAAACAGTATTTCTCCAAACTCTCCCCAATCAAAACTATTGAAGTGAGACAATTGCTTTGTACACTTTCATAAGACTTGTGCTCTTTTTTTGCAGATTTTCACCATATATTAAAATTTAAATATAATTTAAAATTAAAACTTGATGTAATCACTAAGTTTAAGCATCAACACCCAATGCAAAAGAGGGGTGTCAACCTCTGCTAGAGGGGAGATTTTAAAATATCTGCATACCCTGATAGTTTTTACCATATTCTCTTACATTCAACTCATTTTTAACAGAGTAAGTTTACAAGCATGTGAACCCATCACAGATTTTTTTTTAATTAAAAGAAAAGGCAAAACAAAAAACCAAGTAGCTTCTTTAGCAGGAAGACATTTTTCAGACAAAGTATGTGCTCACCAAGGCACTGCAAAAACCTCTTTTTACAGGAGACCTTAAGATTGTCTAAGATGTTGTCCTTTACCAACAGTTAATTTCTGCTCTCATTATCAAACACATTATGTTAATTAAAAGGGGCATTTAGTGAAGGATTGGCTTCCAATTATTCAGTTACATCTTCACAACAAGATCCTCCTACTTGTTATGCTCTTTGCCCTTCACAGTATTTTTTGGAGACAGTCTTTTCATTTCACATCTGTCAGTCATCAGACACTGATTTCAAAGGGACACTTCCAGGGAGACTCTTTATCCTTTCATCATTTCCTCTTGCTTTCACATCATGCCTGATCTGTTCACAAATACAATATACTTCCACTTTCAGAAATAACAACGAACACCTCATTTCCAGTAACACAGGAATTCATCAGTCTAACACCTTCCAGAATTTTAAACTCTCCTGGGGAAACAGAGACTCTCCCATTCATACAGTTACCAGGTTACCAGGTCACGTTAACTTCTGGAGAGTAGCAAAAAATAAAGCTGCTACCATTGAATGGAAGTTTCTGTTGGACTGTAAGTTATAAAACAATAACCCCTCTACAAGCAATTTCCAAAAAGGCTTTTCAAGACCATAGTGTGGCATTCTGGCAGAGAACAACAAATGGTGACAGTGGTTAAGATATTCCTCTGGAAAGACAAAGACCGGGCAGTTGGAACACGATGAGAATTCACACTGTGAAACATCCATGGCTGCTTGCCTAAATAATTAAGCAAGCATGAAAAGCAAATGAGTTTTTAAGGAGAGTGTCTGTTGCTGGGGAAAGAGGCACCTGTGGTTATTTGATTCATTATTAACATTTCTAGTGTAGTAATGCCTGAAGGTCCCAAACAGGTTGTTTAAATTAACTCAATCAACAGCAATTTGCATAGGGGCAATAAAGGCAAATACAGTCAACATGTTAATAACTTTAAATGAACAAAGGGTATCAAAAATTGAAGCAAACCAGTACAGTCTTTAAAAGAATACTCTATTTTACCTTTCTCCATGCAATAAACTGAAACATCCTAATTTTTTTGATCCATACTGCATTTAGAGCAGTCAAAAGGTAGCACACAAAAATACAAACAAGTACCAAACTCAGCTTGTCAGGCTGTCATTCAAAAGAGACACAAATCAAAACTAAGCAGCTTCCCTCTCATACTGGGCTTTAAAGCACTGCCTTCAGTCAGGGGACTCCAAAGGAGACTCTCCTCCTGCTAATCACATCCATGGCAGTCCTAGAGTTCCTCCTCCAATACCACAGCAGTACAATAAGCCATTATCAAAACATCTATGCAAGAAAGTCAGAGAGTAATAATTTGCAATAATCATAGAAGAGTCAGGGAGCCCAATGCTGCCTTTAGATTAAATAAATGAAAACAAGTGTTCAAAAGTAATCCACAATAACAATCCTTCAAGACAAGCAAGTACCAGACAAACTGCAGATGAAGAAATAGGGGTGAGAGTTCTGTTCTGAAGTGGAAGAGAGACCAAGCAAGTACTAGTCCCTGATTTTCACTTCTTGGGCATCCCTCTTCCCTTACCTAGAACCACAGTGTAGTTCAGGTGGGAATGGACCTCATCAGGTCTCCAGCCCAACCTCCTGCTCCAAGCAGGCTCAGCCACAAGAATAGACCAGGTGGCTCTGGATCTTGAGAGCCTTGATGGATAAAAACTTCAAAACTGCTCTGAATGACCTGTTTCCACACTTGGCTGTCCTCACAGTGAAAAACCTTTTCTTGATATCAAGTAGAAACATCCCATTTTAATTAATTACATCCATTGCTGGTAATTTTCCTGCTGCACACTCCTATAAAGAGCCTGACTCTTCAGATGTCTGAGATCTCTTCAGTGAACACCAGCCCTGTTTAATAACAGGACACACCACAAGGCATGCTAAAAATTATATTCTACTAGGCTGAAACTGGGGATCAGAGCAATGCCAAACCCTTCCCCAAAGCCTTCTGCGACCCCATTGCAAAGACCACGACACTGGAGATGACAAGAGACTAAAAAAACCCCCAGCCATTTCTGAGGATGTGAAAGGCAGCCTTTCACCACACTGAGATGAAACTTCAGCCAAACAGTTCTCCAGGTGCAAGGAATGGGATGCTTGGAAAGATGGGAGAAAACCTAAACTGTTCAGAACTTGGCCAAGGCTAGACAGGCTTTGCAGCTCTCCTAAACAAGCCAGGCCTGTTGCTTACATTGGACTAACAAAAAAGCAAACAAAAGGCCTGATTGCAGACCTCTCTAAGGACTATATTTGCAAGTAAAATGCAGGATCTGAAAATATAAGCAAGTACTTTCCCTGTCCTTCCAACTCAATCAACAAGCAGCACGACTGCTCGGCACAAGGAAGGCGCCTGATTTGTAGCAGGGCTCTGGACATTTTCAGATCATTTCAGATCCTGCTTTGAAGTCCAAATGTATCAGAGGCATTCTGGATCCAACAACACTTTCAACAGGAGATTTCCAAGATGTAAGATGTATTTTACATGAAGATAAAACACCAAGGAAATTGCCTTTCCAGTTAAAAAAAAAAAGACAAAAAAAAAAGAAAAAAAGACTTTTTGTCTTTTCCCAAGATGGCAGCAATTTTGAAGTTCCAAAAATTCTTATGAAAATGCAGCAGTTCCCCAGTGGAACAAGACAAACTCCCACATCTCAGTCATCAGCATAAGAGGAAAACTGATATGACTTTTTAAACAGACTGCCATTAACAGTAAAAATTAGTCTCCTCTATTGCTAAGTTTTAGCAGCACAATACAATCCTAAAAGCACATTACACTGTAGAGGACATTTTTTTAAAATTCTATTTTATTTTTATTTTTTTATATTTTTAAGTCCCAAAGTAATTCAAGAAAGACAGGAAGAGGGATTGTACAAGAAGTACAAACCACAGCCTAAGAGGGCATTCTTAGAATTACCTCTACCCCTTTTTTTCTAAAGAGCAGCAAGAGAAAAAACATATATTATAATGTCATTAAACAAGTACTGAGTTGTAGGGAACAGCAGATTCAGGACTTGGTTAAATGGTGGACATGGTGGTGGTTGATGGCTGGAGTTGGTGATCTTGGAGGTCTTTTGATTCTATGATTATTTCACCCTCAAATGCACTGAAACCTATTTCAGGGTGCTCAATAATTCAGTCAGCAGCCTCCATGGAGACAATCTGTAAGGATGTTTCATGTGGTGACTTTCTTACAAAATTCCTGCAGCCAGATGACAAAGGGCCCTGCAGGTCCCTCACCTCCCACTGCAACTGAGCTGCAGAAACATCCTTGCAGATTGTCTCCATCAGGAACATTCTGAAGAAAAAACTCAGCATATCTCAGCATTCACGATTAGTTTCTAAGCCAGAGTTGGTGCAGGTCAGCAGTAGCTCATTTTTTAGACTTCGGATGTGATTTTTTTGTGATATAAAATCAACGCCTTTCTCATCTCACTACAAAAAACAGTTACCTGGACCACTTATGAGAAATCTTGTACAGATGAGTATGAACAAATTAAGTAGTTTGGAAAGTAATTTGCTGCCACCACTACTACTGCTGCTCTGAACTCTTCTTCCTTAAGAACATTTATAGCCCAACTTCAGGATAGCAGAGTAGTCCTTGAAAAAAAGAGGCTCTTCAAAGTAAAATAGTATCATCTAATGAACTATTTTTGAAAAAAATAATTCTTTTTTTAGGTTTTGTGGGCAAAGACTTATCTAAAGCAGAATGTACTGAATGTACTGAAATTTACTGCCTGGGCCACAAATGTTTTGCTACCAAGGTGGCTTGGGTGGGTTTTTTTGTTGCTTTTTTTTTTGGCTCGATTTGTAGTTGTGGTTTTCTGTGTGGTTTGTGGCTTTGCTTGTTTGATTTTTTTTTTTAAACAGACTTGTGAAGAAGGAAAAAAAACATCAAGCTAGAACCTGAAAAACTCATTTATGTATTCTTAAACAGGACTTTCTGGATAGGTAGAGTTAACAATAACATTCAACATTCCTGTTTGCTCAGATTCACCTTAAAGAAGCCATAAAGTAGAGCTCATCAGAAGACACAGAAGACAGTTAAATGCAAATCAAGACACTGAAATCTTGGATTTTTCTCTTTCAGGGGTTGATTATTTCCCTACTACTCATATATTTCTGTCTCTCCCATCTCCTCAGTTACCTCTCTTTAACCTTTTGGTCCCCTATTAGTCCCATCTCAGAATCTTTTCTGGCTGGAATGCACAGAGGGGAGAAGACAAATCAATTTTTCTTGTCTGTTTCTGCTGACAATACATTTTTCTTTTTCTTCTTACAGATACAATATCTCTTCTTCTAGTTCACATTGTGACTGTTCTTCATATTACTGTGATCATTCTATTTCAAAACCATCACCATGAAAAATTACCTGTGTTTAGAAGGAAAACAAACCTTCATTCTACACATGCACTGTTTGGTCGTGAGCAATCAAAATAATTCAATCAGAGTTTAGAAAAGAGAAGAAAGTTACTAAATTTCAGAATTAAAGATGCATTTGATTATTGCAATTCCAGCAGATTGCTTCAAGCAATAAATAGTCTTCAGAGGGATGCCATTTACCAAGACAGCTGGGAGGACAAAAATAGATGCAAGTAACCTACTCTCATTGTATGTAAAACAGTTGTAACAGAGAGAATGAGGGTAGGACAACATATGTCAGTAGAGCTCTCTATTTCTATTTCCATTTCTATTTCCACAGACAGAGCAAGTTCGTATTTCTCTCAAAATACATTTTATAAAACACAGTTCTGAAGTGCACGAATACATTTATGCAGCATTACCTACCAAAAAGGTTATTTCTGTCGTCAACAACTGTTGTTTTAAAAATATGCAGCATCTGACCCTGTGCCACTGCAGTGACTCTGAATCCTGATGAAAGGATCATACCAACTCCTTCTACATTGTTTGCAGCATTAAGAGCAAAAAATTTTTCTGACATTTAATATTACTGGAAAATTACTCAGATTTCCAAACCCAGTGATTTTCCACTCAGATATTTTAAAGGAAAATTAAAACAAATTAAAAGTTTAAAAAATTAAACTTTAACAATCAATAAAAAAAGTCAAAATAAAAAAGGGTACAATACCTGAAGAAGGTCACTGAGGTCAAGTAACATGTCTGTGAAAGAAGTCAAGGAACATACATGCTTCTTGAATGTGACAGTATTTCTTAATTTCATTTCATTAGCCAGCCAAAGTAAAGGAAGAAATAAACCCAGGTTAACTGTTAAAGAAACCAAATAAGGGTTAGGTCAATTCACCACTTATGCTAACAGCCAACATCCAGTTAATTGTTCAGCTGCCTACAACACCCTGCCAGCACCTGCTGAATGTACTGCTCAAGTTGACAGTAATAGAATGATCACAGTGGTGAGATGGTCTCAAAGAGCAAGCCAACAATCTGTGTGACCTACAACACTCACCACATCCTGCAGCCCAAGAAAGACCCAGGGGCAAGGGACCCCTCTGCTCTGCTCAGACCCCACCCCAACCTGGGATCCCAGCACAGGAAGGACACTGAACTGCTGGACAGAGTTCAGGGGAAGCCACCAAGATGATCAGAGGGATGGAGCAGCTCTGCTATGAGGAAAGGCTGAGATAATTTGGATTATTCAACTTGGAAAAGAGAAGGCTTTGGGATGACCGAATTGCTGCCTTCTGATACCTGAAAGGAGCCTACAAGAAAGATGGAGAAGAGCTTGTAGTGACAGGACAAGGGGGAGTGGCTTCAAACTGACAGTAGGGTTAGGCTGGATATTGGGAATGAATTTGTTAGTGAGGGTGCTGAGGCCCTGGCACAGGTTACCCAGAGAAGCTGTGGATGCTCCATCCCTGTATGTGTTCAAGGCCAGGCTGGATGGGGCTTGGAGCAACCTGGACTAGTGGAAGGTGTCCCTGCACAAGGCAGGGGGTGGAACTGGATGACCTTTAACTCCAACTCAGGCCATTCTATTATTCTATGATAACTAAAACCAGTAATAGCATCAAGATAGAACACCCTTATTACACCTGAATATAACATATCATCAGTCTCCTATGCCAGCTTAAGAGCCCAGAAACACAGATGGAAGAGCAAACTAAGAAAACTGATATAAGTTTCTATGAGGTCAAAGATCTGGGAAGGGAAAGCTGCTTTGGCTGCTCCCTTCTCCACCCAAGCAAATCCAGTGTTACCTTTCAGTTTTCAATCCCTTCATGATATCCTGTGCTGCTGCAAAACATTAGGTCACCATCTACTCATTATGGGCACACTTGGAAAACATAATAGTTAAAAACAAGCCAAACCACTACAAATTTCCATGAGATTTAACTGAAAGCAAGCACACTTATGGCTGCATTGTCTAAACATTGTCCAAAACAGAGGAGGAAGAAATAAAAGAAAGCACCATGAAGCCCAAGGTGCAAAGGTAGCCCTTTTGCTGCTGTTAATGAGCACATGCTGGATATCCTATCAGCTACTCAGGTGTGGCTCACATGTTGTAAAAGGGTTTTATCATTAAAAGGAGTGTCAAGGTAAAGTGTGAGAGAAGGGGAGAGAGTGAGACACGCAAAGAAAAAATGTATGCAGGGCTGTGTGTGAGTTTTTGCATGCAGCAATGTGCTAAGAAATCCAGCATTAAATAAAATGCAGGGACACCAGTGTAGTTTGGTGCATGTTGTGGTAATATAAGTATTAGTGAATATTCTTCAAGTAATCCAGGGTAATACATTTCTCCTAAACATTATCAGCTGTGTAAAGAGAGTAATTCAGATAACGTAATCAGTTTATACATAAACATTTTCCTTGCAAAGAACTTTTATCCTTGAGCATTTCTACCCTTAGTTTGCATTTGAAATTGTATGAATGTACTCCAAATTTGTTACAAAATTTAATACATTATGTTAATATTATTTGGTGGAAATTAATTTCCACATTAAAAACCACAGCAATTCTGGGTAGTTAATTAGCTGAAAATTCACTATGGCTCTGAAAAAAAAAATCAGAAATCCATTATAGGTAGTATTATGCAAGACATTACATTAATCTGAAATTTTAACACAGTAAGGAAACTGCTAACAAAAACCATCTGTAAAATACACAGCTTAGAAATCTACACAGAGCAATACTGAATTCAGTGCAAATTTTTTGTAAAAATGAAAAAAGAGAAAATGGAAAGACGTTAGCAATGCAATTGCCAAGGAACCATAATAATTGTCAGCTCATCAAACAGATCTAGGAAGAAATCACTATGCCAATTTTATGCTCAAGAAATATTCTAAGTCTGAAAATGTTCCCAGCTCATTATTGACTTGAAGTGCCTGATTATTCTATGCCCACCCTGAGATACTGGCCCCAATGAGACAAAGCAAAATTATTACTCATATCTGATAGATCTCACCACCACATTTTAGGAGGGAAGAAAACCCTGAAACACCAAAAGAAATGCGTCTCATAGGTTATTGAGGCAGCTTATAGGTTATTGAAGTGAATAACTGAGTGGTCCTAGAGCCTGGCTGCTGTCACTGGAGACAGAAGAGGAGCTGGAAGGAGCATCAGTGCCAAATGCTAATTCAGATTTTACATGAGCCAGTGAGGTGCTTTTCTAACCCAGGCATTTCACTTACAGTCATGAAATCTGCATACCAGAGTATTCTTCAACCTCCTCAAACTGTTGAACACACTTTGGTAGAAAATCTAAACTTACTAACACATTACAAATGCTGAGGCTTTATTACTCCAACGAAAACAAACCCACCTTTTTATGCATTTATAATGAGAGCTAAGGATTGGGAAATTCACAAACAGGATTCAGGCAATTCTGAATCAATTTAGAGCTACACTATAGATGCTTTAACATACAGTTCCCTTGCAACTTAGAGAAGTTAGTTCAAATGTCCACCGAAATTGTAAGCAAAGGTCACAATAAAAATGTGGTGCTTCTGGATTTCATTTAAGGTAGCCCCCAGCAATCTCTCTCCCTGATTAGATGTGCAGCTACTACAGCAAAGCAAAAGGGGAAACTTGAGTCATGCAGTAGCACTGGGCTGGCCTTTACTATGAACATTGTGGGCACGATTATCAGCAGGAAGTGGTTGTAAAAACAGGCTGTTGTTTTCAAACTCCTTTTCAGAGCTGGAACAGTCCAGGAGAACATACAACAACAGCTGAAACCAGCAGATAATACTTAATATGTATTCAAAAATTATACAATCGTAATACAAATGTTTTCTTTGAGGCTGGAAGAAAACAATGATCATTTTACATATGGAGACTGCTACCCACATGGAAAAGCTCCCGAAGGGATGGAAAGCTACTGGTACTGTGGATATACCCATGCAAAAAACAGGGCACAAGGGGACTTAGGTTATAAATGTGCCCAAGTTAAAACAAATAAATGGAAAAGAAAAAGCATTAACAGTTTAAACTACTTTTCCTTTGCTATTAAGTCTTTAGGCAAGTTTCACCACGGTATGCAACTGTCTGTCCTTCACTAGAAATGTCTAAATCAAGATAAATCTAAAGACATCATTAAAAAAAATTAAATTGAAGGGAATCCTTTGGGCAACATGATGCAAAAGGTCAGACTGAGTGGCCAAAATGTTCCTTTTCTGCCTTTATAATGTGGATAATATGAGAACTCCATGATTCACAGCAATAATGATCTCATTCTCAGCACCAGAGGAAACAAAAGTTCATGAAGAAATGAATAGTACCGGAAACCTAAAACCCAAAATACCAAAACAAGCATGCATTTGTACTTCAGAGAGACCTACATTTTACATATTCCAGCAATCCTAAAGTACTTGTGCAGCAAAATCCCCCTGATTTTCAATAATAACATCTAGCAGGAGGCAAATCTGCCATTTGCAGGAATAAATTGTGCAAGATGCTGTTAAAATAACAACTATCATTTACAATACAGTTGTTACCCCTCCTAAAGAAATCTTTAAAAAATTAAAATCTTTAGTGTCTGACAATCTACAATAATCAGGAAATCTTCAGATTATTTCATGCTACTGTTCCAAAGTTTCTCCACTGAGTACCATGTTGGATGTGGGAGACACGGATTAAGAATCAGGGAGAAGACAAAGGGTCTAGCATTTATTATAGTTAGTTAGTTAGTTAGTTAGTTAGTTTTTGTAAGTTACCCTTGGACCATTTTTGACTTATTTTTACAAGCTTACTACAAAAGCAGCCATACCATGGAAGGAGGACTGGTGTCAAGGAACTGTGACTGCAAGCACTCAGGAGAAATCTGACATCCATAAAAGTCCTGCTCACTGTAATGAAGTGTCACCTTTATTCAACTTAAACTAAAATGCTTTCTTTTTCTCACAAAAACTAAAACTAGATCCATTAAACATATAAAATATTTAAACATCATCTCAGCTTCTGTACTCAACAGCAGCAATTCAGCTGGTTGCAAATAAAAAAGCAAAGCCTAATAGGAACCATGTCTGAAAAGTAAAATAAAAAAAAAAATCTGAATATTACAACAAAATTTTCTCAAGTTCTTAACAAAAAGAAATATTTGCAATTATTGCCAGGGTTCTGGATAAACTACATAACAAATGGGAACTTCCCAGAAGCACTTTCTTTAACAAACACATGGAGAAAAGACAAAAGGGAGTCTGAATACAAAGTGGGGTGATACCAGGGTGAAAATCTAGTGACAGCACTTGTCTGGCCCAGAACCCAGTTTCCAACCTTTCAGATTAACACCCAATTCACAACCTCCCCTTTCCATAATTTCATACACCATATGATTTCTGATTATGACTTGTCATGATTATACCTCTGCTGCTTTACAAATTTTCACCATTTTAATTAGCCATTAATTGAGAATGACTGACAATGCTAATTGTTTAAAGTAAACATTTCTCTTTCCAATGACACCGAACTAAAACAATTAGAAAATAATACCCAAACTCAATTCTTTTGTAGAAAACTCATTTCTGACAACTCTAATGAAAGTTTTGCCTCAAGGCTGAATTCCCACAGAGCCAGCTTCCAAAATTTCTTCAGTCTCCAATTTTGCCTGTGCAAAGAAGTCCACACAGCACAGGCTGCACTTGAGTACACAAATAAAAACAGCACTTAACAAATGAAACTGCTAAGCACAAATGCTGTTTTTATAA